ATAACAACCCTCCGGAAAACCTTCCTTCCTGAGCAAGATGTCCTGCGTCTGATACACCCATCTGGAGATCATCTGCCACATCCTGCACCCATCTTCTCCTTGGCCTTCCTCTTCCTCTCTTTCCAGGCATATACCCCTCCATTATTGTTCTCTCTAGACTTCCATGACGTTTCAAGTCTTGACCAAAATATTTCAATTTTCTTTGTTTTAATTGTCTTTACTAGCCAACCCTCTTCAATATTTCAGTCTCTTGACGTATGGATGCAGTTTTGTTTCTTTGCCGGCTTTACCCCCAAGATATTCTTAGACCCTGTCTGTAAACATTTATGTTCGAAATGCATTTATGCGCTGCACACCCCCACCCCCTAACCCCCCCTAAAAAAAGGTTGTTCTATTGACCATGTCTATCGTGCTTAAAATCCACAACTATGGAATACGGACATAATTCATTTCAAACCATTGCACTACAATGCAGAAGGATGTGGCGGCGACGAACGTCGTCTGTCCTGTACTCGATTCTTGTCATGGTTTCAACCTTGAACTCGATTCTTGTCATGCTTTCCACTTTCTACTCGATTCTGGTCATGTTTTCCACTTTGGACTCGATTCCTATCATGCTTTCCACTTTGTACTCGATTCTGGTCATGCTTTACACTTTGTACTACATTCTGGTCATGATTTCCACTTTGTACTCAAATCTGGTCATGGTTTTCACTTTGTACTCGATTCTTGTCATGGTTTCCACTTTTACTCGATTCTTGTCATGCTTTTTACTTTGTACTCGATTCTGGTCATGCTTTCCACTTTGTACTCGATTCTTGTCATGGTTTCCACTTTTACTCGATTCTTGTCATGGTTTCCACTTTGTACTCGATTCTGGTCATGCTTTCCACTTTGTACTCGATTCTTGTCATGGTTTCCACTTTGCACTCGATTCTTGTCATGCTTTCCACTTTGTACTCGATTCTGCTCATGCTGTCCACTTTGTACTCGATTCTTGTCATGGTTTCAACATTGCACTCAATTCTTCTCATGGTTTCCACTTCGTACTCCATTTTTGTCATGGTTTCCACTTTGCACTCAATTCTTGTCATGCTTTCCACTTTGTACTCCATTCTGGTCATGATTTCCACTTTGTACTCAAATCTGGTCATGGTTTTCACTTTGTACTAAATTCTTGTCATGGTTTCCACTTTGCACTCAATTCTGGTCATGGTTTCCACTTTGCACTTGATTCTGGTCATGGTTTCCACTTTGTACTCGATTCTTGTCATGGTTTCAACCTTGCACTCAATTCTTGTCATGCTTTCCACTTTGTAGTCGATTCTGGTTTATGGTTTCCACTTTGTACTCGATTCTTATCATGGTTTCCACTTTGTAGTCGATTCTGGTTTATGGATTCCACTTTGTACTCGATTCTGGTCCTGATTTCCACTTTGTACTCGATTCTTCTCATGATTTCCACTTCGTACTCTTTTTTTGTCATCGTTTCAACTTTGCACTCAATTCTTGTCATGATTTCCACTTTGTACTCTATTTTTGTCATGGTTTCAACTTTGCACTCAATTCTGGTCAGGCTTTCCACTTTGTACTCGATTCTTGTCATGGTTTCAACTTTGTACTCGATTCTTGTCATGATTTCACTTTGTACCCGATTCTTGTCATGGTTTCCAAATGACGACATACAGGACAGCATAGTAGAAAACTACAAACGCGTACGAGAGAATGCGCATGTTTGCTGGCGCGGCCTTAGCGCTACCATCAGAGCTCGTTTCCATTAAGCCGACCGCAGAGCTCGACCTCTCGTGTCATGAGGGTAATGTGACCTTCACCCAGAAACATTGTGTTGGTAAACATCGTAGGAATTGACAGACTAGGCGTTTTTCCCCGTTCCCTTTAGCAATTAAGAAACCAGACAGGAGACCCAATCACCATAACTGACCAACGCAGCCATTTTATTTTTTTCAACGACATAATCGCAGGAGACGGGTTTTTGGTTGAAGCTACCTGGTATCTTTGAGAAGACAACCTGGACAGACATCAGGGCTTATGCATTGTATTCAGTAAGGCCGTGTCTATCTGGTAGGGCCCGTGTCTCTACACTTTTAGAGCCCAAATGTATAAGGTTGTCATGGTCTTGCTTTATTTACATCCCTTCTTTCTGTTGGCGTTCTTGCTCTCAATATTCCTGCTTCTTATATCTCTTCTTTGCATTCAGTGAGTGGGGAATAAATTGTTATTTTGCTGGTTTTCCAATTGTTTTAATTACATTCGACTCTCATGTACTTAATTATTTCTTTAATAATAGAGTTCCTTGTATTCAGTGTGTCTATCTTTCTTTTTGGTGCATTCCGTGCTTCTTGATTATCCACTTCCCACAACTCGGTGGGTGCAGTCAGTAAACACATACGATTGGGTAGAATTAACCCATGTGGCTTAAATGAAAAATTGAGTTTCCTATTGAATTTGCCGTCCTTTTAAGGATTACATTTTTCTTTATTTGAAGCCCCACCCTGGTTCTTGCCAGGGGCCGCAATATAGCCAGGCCATAAATATGGCCAATTGGCTGAACGCGGTTTCTGGGACCTCTCCACGGTGATCCTCATCTACATGGTGGCACTTTGTGTCGTCGGGTGTTTATCGCTTGTGTGATGTCCTGGTGGGGTAGAAAGTCAGTCAGTGAATGAAAAACACTGACACGTGTGCTGTAGGATTTAGCGTGCGATGCACTATCGGTGCAAATTGTGTTGCCCTGTGTTCAAACTTTGGGTAACGCCCCGTGCTAGATTAGATCACGGGTCTCCCCGGGTGTTTCCCCTTGACCGCCTTGCACGTGACCCCGGCTCTAGAATTTCACAGTCTGCGTTCACTGTTGACAACAGCATGGTACACCGTGACCTTTGACCTGAAACTGGCGCGCACAAACGCTCTGGGTAAGCTCATAAAGACCAGGAAATCTGGGGGCCGCACTACACTGTGAAGTTCAAGGCTGTTTCTACCCAGCTTGCAAGAACAACATGTGACAGGAAGTGGCAACCTACGTTTGTATGGCCCTTATGCTGCTACGATTGGCGGGAAAGCGTTACGAATCTTCTCTTTGTCGTTGGGTCGACGTTACTCGTGTTGTCTTAACCAGCAGCGTTTCAATTGTGTTTGTGAATTGGTCTTGGCTAAAGGATTATTCAAGTAAGGATTTGCCTTTTTTCGTTGGTTTTTTTTTCAGACCCAGCTTCACTAGTTTACCGTGCTGTGCTGATGGGGGGGGGGGGGGGGGGGGGGGGGGGGGGGAAATTTATCTCCTAGGCGTCAAGGAATTGGGTGGAACAAACGTGACCACGAACATACTTGGAGTTTTTTTTTTTTAGATGTGTACGTTGTTCCAAATGTGTCGATGAAGTGCTGCGGCAAGAAAGCGTGCCAGTTTCTTCATTTTCAGATAAACAATGGTCAGTGTCAGAGCAATACTTGGGTACAAACTGAGCTGCAGCAAGTTTTTGTTTTTGGTTAATAGATTAGCGAGTATAACTAAACATAAATGGGGGCGTCATAAATATAGGGCCTCGTGAGGTCAGTATCAACACCTGGAATCGTTGGACTGTCTGTATGTCCATCTTGACCATGCAAACTGGCTCATCTCGTTGTGGCACTATGTGTGTTTTGTCTTGGTCGAGTACACAGTGTGCTGGACAGTTCTGACACTATGTGTGTTTTGTCTTGGACGAGTACACAGTGTGCTGGACAGTTCTGACACTATGTGTGTTTTGTCTTGGTCGAGTACACAGTGTGCTGGACAGTTCTGACACTATGTGTGTTTTGTCTTGGTCGAGTACACAGTGTGCTGGACAGTTCTGCAGTCTGTTGCTAGGGCGCCACTGAAGCCTGGACACTGGTGCCGCCACTGCACGGTTTCAGATGTTGTTGCTGAAAGTGTTGTAACTTATTTCAGCATATCACATGAGTGACATGACCCACTGGCAACACAACCAATGTTGACGGGCAATCACGAGTGAATGACTTGTGAAGAGTCGAAAGACTCACTTAACGTGACCGGGTTTATGTAGTGTGCTGTGACCACATTAAACAAGTGAGGGAACACAGGACGCGATGTTTGTAAGCCACGAGAGTGAGTGAGCTAATGATACATCCTGCCTTGTCTGAGACTGAACGCCCTGGTGACTTTTGGTCTTGGTGACCCACGTGACCACAACTGGGGCCCTAAATTTAGAATAGGACATCCTGAAGACGTGCACTTGTGCAGCTGCTAGCGAGGCGGATTGGTGTCGGTTCGTGAATGACTTCTATTGTGAACGATGTTTGTAGACATTCATCACTGACGAACATTCGCCTGTTTTCAGAGATGATTGTTGTGTGTTTGTGTCAATGTAGGACAGCACAGCCAACGGTCATCGTAAGCGTGGACAGTCACTGCAAGCGTGGACAGTCAGTGCAGTGTTCTGATCGCAGATTTGGATGTATTCTAATAGCAGTTTGAATCTAGTTAAGTATAGCCATACTATAGCCATATCTGGATCCTGGCTAGTGCTAGGTAGTTTTATGCAAGTGCTTAGTCTTCTAGTATGTTCTGTGGACGGCAAATTGATGGAGATAACCTTTTGCAATAAGTGATCCTCGATGAAGGCAAAGAAAGCAGATTTAAATGCATTTCTAGCAGCTTCTTCCTTCGCCCGGGCACTGTTCAGTGTTTTCGCCATCTGTATTTACTCACAGAAGTGGATTTACCAGAACATTTGTGAGTGCTGTTTCCTGCTCAACTATCGTATTTCAAGGCTGCTTCTTAACGTGCTTACTTTTGACCTTTCAGATTGTGATGCGGCATGGAGTAACTGTAGTAATGGATTAACCCGCCTTTCCATCCATGGTGTGAGATATGATGGATTTTAAGACCACGTTCAGAAAGTTGACCTGGAGAATTCATAGAACCACTGTGTGCCTGTTGAGCGACCGACCTGTTGCATTGAGGTTGTTCACCTCTGACTATTATGGCCAAACCGCAAAACCTGGATAAGCTGGTGTTGTCCATCCTGGCAACTGTGGTGGCGGTGACTGGCTTGTCCCTGATCGTTGCCGGGTCGTTTGTCCCCAGGTGGGCCAAACCACTCAACGTCAGCAGAACCGACGCCAACACCACATACAGCCTCTGGGGCAGGGAGGACTGCTACGGCCTCATCTGCACTACTAAATACAGGTAGGTGTGGTTGCTGCTGTGTCACTGTCTCTGTCATGTAGGTGTGGTTGCTGCTGTGTCACTGTCTCTCTCGTGTATGTGTGGTTGCTGCTGTGTCACTGTCTCTGTCATGTAGGTGTGGTTGCTGCTGTGTCACTGTCTCTGTCATGTAGGTGTGGTTGCTGCTGTGTCACTGTCTCTGTCATGTAGGTGTGGTTGCTGCTGTGTCACTGTCTCTGTCATGTAGGTGTGGTTGCTGCTGTGTAACTGTCTCTGTCATGTGGGTGTGGTTGCTGCTGTGTCACTGTCTCTGTCATGTAGGTGGGGTTGCTGCTGTGTCACTGTCCATCTCATGTAGGTGTGATTGCTGCTGTGTCACTGTCTCTCTCATGTGGGTGTGGCTTCTGCATTGCCACTGTCTCTTGTGTGGGTGTGTTTGTGTGTGTCACACCATGTCTGTCTGTCGTTGCCCACAATACTATTACGGTGAGAGCCAACCTGATGGTTATTCAGCTTTCGGCCCGCCGATGACCCTTCTAACATGTTGGCACCCGAGTCAAATTAGTTGAAGGACCGTACTAGACAGTCGCCTGCGGATCCGTTGTTTTTTAAATGACCTTGGTTCCTAGATAGAGCTAGCTTCGAATGGGTACAAGGTAAAGTGTTGGGAAGTAAACGCGGCAGACATGATGTTGACCTCACCCACCGAGTGCCGATTGGTCTATAAAATAGGGGTCTAGCCCGGTATGAACAACATACCTGAAGTTATAGATAAGGGTCTTTAATTTTTAGAGGCTAGATGAGGAGCAGCCGTGTGTTCTCCGGCCATATGAGATAGGAAACCATACAGGAGCAGCCGTGTGTTCTCCCGCCATATGAGATAGGAAACCATACAGGAGCAGCCGTGTGTTCTCCGGCCATATGAGATAGGGAACCATACAGGAGCAGCCGTGTGTTCTCCGGCCATATGAGATAGGAAACCATACAGGAGCAGCCGTGTGTTCTCCGGCCATATGAGATAGGGAACCATACAGGAGCAGCCGTGTGTTCTCCGGCCATATGAGATAGGGAACCATACAGGTACAGCCGTGTGTTCTCCGGCCATACGAGGAAACCAAATAGGACATTATGGGCCTGGCCAACATGTTCGGTCGGAGACGAGAAGCTTGGGTTTGTCTATCTCTGCTGTGATGTTTGTGCCCTCTGTCATCTCCCGCCCCGTGTGGGCTCTGCGGTCTTGTTTAGACTGCCCCTAACAAGTGTGTCGTAAAGGGCCAACAGTTAGGGTGTTTCCTTCAAAGTCGCAGTGCATGTGCCTGAGAGGCGAGAAATCCAACAGTCTGCATACAGGTAAGCAAGATGGGACAAAAGGATGGGCGGGTTTAAACTCAAGTTTCGAAAGAGCACGAAAGTCCAGAAGTGGACGAGCAACCGTAACTTTCCGCTGGCGTTTACAGCCAATCAGCGCTAAGAGAAGGAAGAAAAATTCTATCATCCTGACACACATACACACACATTTCTCTTTTTTTTTCTCTCTCTCTCTCTATCTATCTATGTCTCTCTCTGTGTCTCTCTAATGTGTATTAAACAATGTTACTACTATCAAGTAGAGTAGAAGTGAGGCATGGGAGTTCTTACCTATTTATGTCCATATTTGACCACTTGTTGTTAATCCTAGACTGGACATTGTCATGTGTTTAAACAGAACTAGTTGAGCTGACTGGACATTGTCATGTGTATAAACAGAACTAGTTGAGCTGACTGGACATTGTCATGTGTATAAACAGAACTAGTTCAGCTGACTGGACATTGTCATGTGTATAAACAGAACTAGTTAAGCTGACTGGACATTGTCATGTGTATAAACAGAACTAGTTCAACTGGCTGTGAGTGGTATGTTTAAAATTGGCGGTCAGTTGTTAGACAACTTACCATGTCACCTGGGGCAGCGCTGTATTACGTGACCAGTTGTAGCACTTGTAAATCATCATCTTAGACACGTGCTTGTCCCACTTGTATCACAACAGGGTCTCACTGTGTCCGCCCATACAAGCCTGTGCGTGAATTCAGTGACAAAACTATATGTTATGTCTCAGTATTGGTATTTATCTATCCCATTTTTGTCTGTTATTTATCTGCCTTAGTCTGTAGTGATATCTGTCTGCCCTAGTCTATCTGTATATTCACCTGACCAAGTCTGTTTGTTTATTCAACTTTCCCAGTTTTAAGTCTATCCGTCGATTTAGTCTGTATTTGTTTCGGCCTTTTCAGTCTGTATCCATTGGTTCAGATCAGTCTTTATATCAGTTTATATCCATCGGCCCCAGTCTGCCTATCCATCGGAAGCGGTCTACTTATCCATCAGCCCAATCTTCCTATCCACCGGCCCCTTCTACATATCCATCGTCTCTAGTCTACATATCCATACACCTCAATATAGCTATCCATGGGCCTACGTCTACCTATCCATCGGCCCCAGTCTTCCGATCCATCCACCCCAGTCTACACATCCATCGGGAGGCTTGAGGTATTAGCGTTGTAGTTTTTTGAAATTGTTGCGAATATCCTGCGTGGACAAGAAGGATATTACAAATATAATTGGCGGACAAGAAGCAAATATCCTTGCCGGCAAGAAGAAGATTGGTTCAAAAAGTTAGGGTATTGACAAAGCTGGTCTTACCGGATCGGATCGATCTCTACAGAAAACTGTCAGAATAACTGATGTTTTATCAACAATATCCACATCAGCGATAAGGAGTGGCTAGCACCTGCTCCACCTTTCATGGATGATTTGTTTAATGATGTCATTGGGTTCCTAGATCGACCCAGTCAAGAATCGGTTCCAGTGACTAATCTAGGAAGTAAAGGCGGCCTAAAATGAGTAATACAGTGCTGATTGGTTGTGAAATTATGTTTCTCCTGCTATACATAATGCGGAGACATCATTGCCTTGCTGTGAACCGCAATACATCATGCCAACCGCTCTTAAGAGAACACATAATTGAGGACATCTTGTGTTTTGCTCGTTTATCATTAAAGGCGGCTCCAGTCAGCAATTCAGAGAAGAACAACTCAAAGACAACAGCAGCAACATGTACACGCATTGCTTTCATGCTGACAGATTTAATTATCTACTGTCATTCGTTACCCTTCTTCATTCCGCCTAATCTTTCCTCTTTGAATTGTCTCGCATAGTATTGTTCGTTCTGTTGTTTCATGATCGAAAACAATGGAGACTAAATTAATATGTTCCAGGGTCCAGTAAACTCACATTTTAAAACACATTTGCTTCAGTACAATACACCTTCATGTGCCATACCGACTGGCGAGGGCGCTAATGCATCTCCACACATCACGTTCCCTGGTTGCCTGGAACAGCTCTCTTGATGATATTCCTCCGTGTCATCGTTTCTGCCCAGCCCAGCCAGCATCACTCTTGGTCTGCCTTTACCATTTTTGCCACTGATCTTTGTATTGACCATATATTGAAGACTGTTGTGACAGCATATACAAGTAGGAGAAGAAGGGGGATTAGGGGATATTATTGCTCAGAAGGCGAATCACCTTCCACGATAAATCCTTTCTGGTGTTTCATATCGTAATGGTTCACATACTTATAGAGGATTTGAGGTCACTGTTTATTGCTACAGCCAACGTTCTTAAGTGCTCTGGGGTTGGCGACCATTTCTAACTTGCCTAAAGTGTTTGATAATATTTAAAATTCAACAAGTTAATACGTCTGCTAACCAGTACTCTGTCACGCCACCTGTCAGTACCTTCTTGCATTTCTAACCACATGAAGACTTCCGACCACAATGGAGAAAAGGATTGGTAAAATATTAAGCTTCGAAGTTATTTCTGCTTTCGGCAGCGCTTTGCTAATCCAGTTTCTACATAAGGACGGTAGTCTACGGTTTCGCTGCCTGAGCTACTGAGTTTAGTGCTTGGTTGCAGCCCTGTGAGCTGTGATTTTTCTGTGGAATGCCTTTCATTTGTGCCATGGTGTTCAATATGGCCGTTTTACGTGTGAGCTAGTGAAATACCTTGTGTTATAATTATAAGTGTACAGTAACCTGCTTGTCTAGCCCGACTGCTTCCATCAACGATAATCTGCATTTCTGATAACGATTGTGGCTTTGGCGCCTCTAGCAACTAAAGTACGCATTTACGGTGTGCACATATTTCCGGATTATTCCGGGACTAGTTGTTTGTTCACCAGTTTTTCAAATAGAACCGAGAGGGCCTTTTCATTTGATTTGGACTGGCACAGGAACGGAGCAAGTATGGGAAAAGCCCTGATTGCGGAGATTTGAAACCTCGACCAAGACTAAGACTTATCACATAATTGAAAGATCACTGTGTGCTAATCCCTTCAGCTTCTCCCTCTGCGCCACGAATTTCCCTGAATTAACAATCAGTGCCATGAATTTCTTTGAATTAGCACCAGTTGCTGCGTTCCGATGTCTCCCCATATCTACTAACGTGTAAACTTGTTCTGATTGTCAGTTCGGGAACTCGGCAGTATACATATAGAATTACGTTGCCTTTTATTAGTTGTATATTCCACGATATGAACGCTTTTAAAAACCACAAAGCATAAAGAACTGACCCTAACCCCAACCCACCTACGGGCCACGAGAGAGTGTAGCCTAGCTCCCTTACTGGGATGAGTCTGGTGAAGCTGTTGCAGAGCTGCACTGAGCGCCGTCTCCTCCACCCCTGCCCACTCCCAGGCAGCTTGTCTGACGCTCACGAACACCCGGCTCTTCTCTCCGCTGTTTGCCCTCATTGCAGCTGGGAAGTCTCACGACCTCTGACCTCCTGGCACCTACCAGCATATGTCATTGTATGGTTATCTGCAACAATGCCGGCTCCGCCAATCAGTGGCGTAGTTTCCAGCTCTGCTGTATCGTACCACTCCATTGCTAGGCACTATCCGTTCTTGGTGCTTGTTCTCCACCTGGCGTGTGACTTCTACACACACTCCTTGCCTTGTATCCTTGAG